TTCATTTTTTTCTCTCACCCCCACATCCAGCAACGTGCACATCCTACCCATTTTTCTTTTGAAATTCATATTATCTCTATATTCTCTATTACAGAGGTCCCCACCTCCTGGTCTGAGGACCAGTACCAGCCCTTGGCCTGTTAGGAACCGTGTCACACAGGAGGTGAGCGAAGCTCCATCTCCTGTCAGGTCTATAGGGTCAGAAGATTCTCAACAAACTCTGGAGTGAACTGAGCATGTGAGGGATCTAGATTGTGTGCTCCTTATGAGAATCTAATACCTGATGATCTCCCCCACCCCACTCCCCCCTACCTTGCCCCACGGAAAAATTGTCTTCCATGAAACCAATCCTTGATGACAAAATGGATGGAGACCACTGTTCTATCACATTCAAAATCCAAGCTTATACCACCCCATTTCTATATGTATTCAACAGCTTCCTGGGTAGGCTTCTAGAATTCAATCTCCCTTTATTCTAAAGCTAATGTGTTGTTTTGCCTGGGCTGGTCTTACTTAATGCTTCTTTCATCTCAAAACCTGTAATAACAGTCTCTTTCCTGCCATACCAGGGAAACAGACCTGTGTTAGTTCAAGGCCCTTGAGTTGGAAGTCAAGGCTCCCACTTCTGCTCTGCAAACAGTTAAGTTTGGAACTTAGGCAAATCAACAAAGGTGTTGCCATTGAATTTCCTTCCCTTTAAAATGAACCAATGGCTGGAAGCCACTTGAAAGGTCATCTTGTTCTACCCCTCAATATCCGAGGAGGAAAAAAAGGCACAAGGGAAGCCTAATGTGCGCCTCTCACCTCTTGGCAGACATGCTGAGAAAAACTTGGTCTAGAAAGCAAGATGGGATGACTGGTATTAAAATATTTCCTCTGGTGGGCACTGTGGCTTCCACTTGTAATTCCAGCACTTTGGGAGGCCGAGGTGGGAGGATTTTTTGAGCCCAGGAGTTCAAGACCAGTCTGGGCAACATAGTTAAACCTCATCTCTATAAAAAAAATTTAAAAATTAGCTGGGTATGCACCTGTGGTCCCCGCTACTTTGGAGGCTAAATTGAAAGGATCACCTAAACCCAGGATGTTGAACTTGCAGTGAGCCATGATTGTGCCACTGCACTCCAACCTGGGTAACAGAGTGAGACCTTGACTCATACACACACACAAAAAAAATTCCTTCTGTAATCTTTGGGAAGTAATCTGTCAAAAACACAAGATGTAAAACAATGCATACATTATGCTACCATGTGTGTGTTTGTTGTTGTTCCTTATAAAGGAAGGTGTTATGTCATCACATATGTTTGTGCATGTAGAGACTGTCCTTGCTCCCAGCAATGGCTTCTGAGAGCAGAACTGGGGAACTGGGGGGGAATGTCCAGAGGGAGAAGAGCAGGCTGAAGAGGCGGATAAGGAAAGGCATGTGCGAATCTTTCAGTTCTCTCCTGCTTGCTGGTCAGACCCAAAAAGAAACTTTTGGTTTCAGTGAGAAAATCTGAATGAATTACCTTGTTCTTTTTCTTTCTTTTCTCAGTAACTTTACTAAACTAGAAACAATTGGTGCTTTCTTGCTGCTGACCCTGGCAGAGACCCACAAATAGGTCCATACAAGAAAGGTGTGAAAAGTTTGGGAGTCTCTTGGGAGTAGAACTTTTGCACATCCCAAATTTCAAACCAGAAGGAACACCCAGGCAAAACAGGGGAGTTGTGTGTTAGAGGACATGCTGTGTCCCTTTCACACAAGCCCAGAAGCTGGCAGAAGACTCTCTTGGTGCCAGCTGTTGTCATCCTGTGACCTCTCTTTGTGACCACCAGTCCTGTGGTTTACTGTCACTGTTGTTTGAAAAAAGCTGAAATGAACCAGAAGTCAACTCCACTCCAAGCTCCAAGCCTTCAGTAGTGCCTATTAACCCTCTTTTTCCTGAAAATATTCTTCCTTTTCATCTCCCTTGATGCCATGGGCTGAAAAGCAGCAAGCCTATTCAAATGTACAGATGGAGATGTGCACTAATAAAATGCCCTCTGAAACCTCACATGCGTATGGGAAAGAGAAAGCTGATTTACATTAGACTTCATAGAGAGAACATTAAGCATTCATAAATTTTTTTACTAGGGTAATAATAGCCAACATTTGCAGGGCAATTTCCTATCTCTCCTGGTCTTTAGTGCTGTCCATCTACTGGTGCAATTACTAGGTCAACGCAAGTACTTCATTTAGGGTTGTAGTGAGGGAATAGCTGTGCTCTCTGTCAGTTACACATTGATGCATGTAACCAGCCTCCCTCACACAGCCATTAGAATTAATAGGATCTCATTAAGTCGACCATCACTCTTCGGAGGCCAGCCAGACAGCTATGTTCACCTCTAGGTCTGTAATCTGTGGCAAAGCAGATGTCTTGGAATTGGTTAAGCACTCAGAACTTATCCAGCACTGAAAATAAATGCAGCATATGCTCTGTTCTCATGTGTGCTGGCTATGGGTGGTCATCTGTCACTTAGATTCTGAAGTGTGGTGAAATAGATTTCTCATGTCGAGGCTAAACATAGGTAACGTGGGAAGAAATCTGTAGTTCAAGCTCCAACTGTTAAAGATGTAGCTGCTGCAGGGCATGGTGGCTCATGCCTGTGATCAGAATACTTTGGGAGGCTGAGGTGGGAGAATTGCTTGAGCCCAGGAGTTCAAGGCCAACCTGGGCAACATAGCAAGAGCTTGTCTCTACCAAAAAATAAAATATTAGCTGGGTGTGGTGTCTCACGCCTGTAGTCACGCCTGTAGTCACAGAGAATTGCCTGAGCCCAGGAGGTTGAGGCTGTGGGGAGCTGTGATTGTGTCACATTGCACTCCAGTCTGGGCAACAGAGTGAGACTTGACTCAAAAATAAATAAATAAATAAGAGAGAGAGAGAGAGAGAGAGAGAGAGAGAGAGAGAGAGAGAGAGAGAGAGAGATCCAACTGTTGCTCTCTGGGCAGAAGGCCTTTACCAGGAATTTTGCAGTATCTGGTACAATAATACTTGCTGACTAATATAATAGAAGTCATGGTAGCAGCAGCAGCAGCAACCACAACAATACTAATAATAACTAGGGCCAGTTGCAGTGGCTCATGCCTATTATAATCCCAGCACTTTGGGAGGCCGAGGTGGGAGGATCGCTTGAGCCCAGGAGTTCAAGACCAGCCTGGGCAACATAGCACAACCTCGTCTCTACAAAATAAAAATAAAAAAATTAGCTAGGTGACATGGTACACACCTGTAGTTGCAGCTACTCATGAGATTGAGGTGGAAGGATCACCTGAGCCCAGGAAGTCAAAGCTGAGATGTGCCATAATTGTCACTACACTTCAGCCTGGGACAGAGTGAGATCCCGACAGAAAGAGAGAGCAAGAGGGAGAGAAGAAGAGAGAGGAAAAAAGAAAGAAAGAAAGAAAAAAAGACCATGTCTAAGGCCTAACCTTGAAAGGCCCTGTCCACCTTCCATAATGCTTTCCAGGACCCCCAGAAATCAGGGCTTACTGCCTGAAGCAGAGATTGTGGAGGTGAGTCCCCTGCCCATCTTCTCCAGAGGAGGCAAGGGTTGCATTCTCTGGGAACCCGCCCGGGAGCTTCTTTGCTTTCATAAGAGGATTTTCTCACCAGCAGCCCATCCCAGGTTGCCAGTCACCCTGCCACATGAACAGCTCTGTGAATCCACGGTGCACAGGTCTCAGCCCTGAACTTCCCCTCATGTCTCTCTCTCGTGACCACTTCCTCAGCCACCAGCACCACCGTTCAATGAGCAAACACCTCTGATTTCCATAAGAGTTCCAGTTTATTTAAAAGGAATGGTTTCGCCCAACGAAACATGCTAACTGGAACTCAGTTAATATTGACTATATAAGTATTTCATGAAAATCTTCAAAACTTGTATACCTCTACCCAAGAGCAGGTCCAGGTTTTGTGGGGTCCAAGCTTGGTGATTTTGAAGTGAGGCCAAGGCCATGGAGGGCTGCGCACGTGAGGAACCTGACGCTGCAGCTTGCTAGCTCTCTGGCAAATCCATCTCTGCCCTTATCAGGGACAGAATTCCAGGAGGGGCATTGTGCCTCTCTGCAGTGGACGACCTCCCACCTAGCATGATCTCTCACTCACAGGTGGGTCATATGAGGAAGAGCATGAGGGCTGGAGTCAGAAAGGTCTGGGCATGAGTTCAAGCTCTGACTCTTCACTGCTCTGTGGTCTTATGCATAGACCTTCCTCGCTGTGCTTCAGGCAATGCAGATTCTATGTGTGTTGTGAGGGTTCCAAGGGTGAGTGTCACATATGGAAATGTGTGAATGCTGTTCACTAAGTGGACAGTGGACCAGACTCCCGCTCAACAGCTTTTGCTAGATCTGGTACATATGATTTAAATCTTCCCTATATAAAGACAGGCGAGACTAAGTGCAGCAGCTCACCTCTGTATTCCCAGCACTTTGGGAGGCTGAGGCAGAAGGATCATTTGAGCTCAGGAGTTCGAGATCAGCCTAGGCAACATGGCGAAACCTCATTTCTACAAAAAATTTAAAAATTAGCTGGGTGTGTTGATGCATGCCTGTGGTTCCAGCTACTTGGAAGTCTGAGGTGGAAAGATCACCTGAGCCCAGGAGGTCAAGGCTGTGGTGTGCTGTAATCCATGTCACTGCACTCCAGCCTGGGTAACAGAACGAGGCCCCAACTCTAAATAAATAAATATAAAAAATTAGCTGGGCGTGGTGGCAAACACCCTGTAGTCCCAACTACTTGGGAGGCTGAGGCAGGAAGATTACTTGAGCCCAGAAATTTGAAGTTTAATGAGCTATAATCGTTTCACTACATTCCAGCCTAGGTGACAGAGCCAGACCCTGACTCCCTCAATCAAGGCAAATTAGTTATTAGCTCGTCAAACAATAACCCCTATAACCCATCCCCAGCCGCAGAAAAGAGTCATACTCTTCACAATAATTAAGGCAAATACTAAATTTATTCTGTTGATTTGACCAACCACACTGGACAAAAGTGTTGGGTTTCATTTGCATAATGTAAAAACATTACTACACTCAAATACTTTACAATGTTAAAAATAGATATTCATAAGAAAGATTCGAAAAGGCATTTGATATAAAACATACACAGTATGCTATTAGAATATACAAATGCGTAAAAGAAAATAGAGTCATAAGAATTATAAAAGTAGCATCATCAATAATTTACAAAATTTCTACTTTTCTTAAAGGTCATGTTCTCATCCTTTGGGATGTACAGAAATTATGTGGTTTACACAGTTTTATTCATTCAAAACATCAAGTTTTGACTGTTTTAAGCATAGCATGTACAGTACAAAATGTTTCCATAGGAACATAACAGAAACTGTCACTAGTGGCCTGCTGTCATATGGCTCCTAATTCATCAGTTAGCCATTAAGACACTAGTCCAGCTTATTGCTACAGTATTCAAGTTATTCTATTCACCCAAAATATAATGAATTCCATTTATACCAGAACTAATGAGAAAGGCTCAAAGAGTTATAATATACACCAATATACACAAAACAACTATTCTGAGTTAAAATGAAGATCCCATACTTAAATAAGAACCAAGAAGAATAACTTTTGGCTAATACATTATCATTGTGATTGGTATTTTAACAATTTTGAGCAAAGTGCACAGTGAATGGAATCAGTCAGCAGAAACGATCCTTCCATGCTCTCTCAACTGATGTCCTTGGAGTCACACCCCTAAGAAATGAGAACTTTGAGACCTGGTGTGTACCAGAGTAGCTTCACAAATTGAATCCATGGGAACCACGTGGAGTGACATTCATGAGTCATCAGAGTCCAGACTGTCCCCTAAGAAATGGCATAAATCACTATCCAGAGCCACTGAGTAGAGTCAGCAGAATCAGCTTCCAAGATAGAAATGTTGTCTTAATTTAGAGCAAAATGGCATCATTCAGCCATATTCGAGTGTTGGAGGACCCCGAACAAAATTGAAATAGCCGGCCAGAGCTCCAAGGTCTATATAGAGAGAACGTTGTCTCTTCAGCATCTCAGATTCCTCAGTGCTTCCTGTGCATGAAGAATCTAAAAAGGGAAACATTGAAAAAATAAAATAAATGATGGAGGAACATATCAAATAATAAATAGTCTTCCTTCTGCAAAGAACTAATCCTGTGGGACCTAATGATACAGTGTCTAAGCTCTGGAGATTAGTCTTTGAATACCATGGGCTAGATCATGTAATATGGCATAGTCATAGAGTTCAAACAGAAATCAACAAAGATAAGAAATTAGTTAGTGGGCTGCGGACAGTGGCTCATGCCTAAATTCCTAGCACTTTGGGGGGCAGAGGCAAGAGGACTGCTTGAGCCCAGGAGTTGGAGTCTAGCCTGGGCAACATAGCAAGACCTCATCTTCACAAAAAAGAAAAAAAAAATTAGCTGGGCATGGTGATGTGTGCCTGTAGACCCAGCTACTCAGGAGGCTGAGGCAGAAAGATCACCTGAGCCCAGGAGGTTGAGGCCGTGATGAGCTGTGATCATGCCACTGCACTCCATCCTGGGTGACTGAGTGAGGCCCCAACTTAAAAAAAAAAAAAAAAAAAGAGAAAAGAAATTAGTTAGAAATCTTGGCATATTTTTCAACATCCCAGATGGTTCTCTATAAATACAGAAAAGTGAGACAAGAAGCAGAGAAATGCAAACAAGTGTTTCTGGCTTGACATCTGAGCTTGGACCTAAATGTATTAAGAATGCCACAGATTTTTAAGAAAAACGGAGAAAGAAAAATATGCCTTTTTTTAAAAGACAAAAAGCATATTCCATGCTTCTGGAATACATACTGACTGTCCTAAATGGGAGTGGTTTGTATCTGGCAAAGAGATTTTAAGCACAGGAAGACAGAAATGCAAATTGACTTCAGACTCCATATTTTATCTGTGCAGGGCAGTGCTGTAGTGTTTCCTAGGACTGGAGTGGCTTATCACGAGCAAGTTAAACAGTACCCTATATTTTACCAACAGGAAAGCTGTCATGCTCGATTTGTTTTAAAGCCAAGCCAACTGTTGCAAAAAAAAAAAAAAAAAAAAAGTTTTAAAAAAGCAAGCCAGAGGCAATTTCCAATGACTAGGTGACCCCCACTTGTACTGAAACCTGTTCTAATATGGTGGTAAATTAGTCAATTAAAAAAATGCTTTGGCTAATGTTCTTCCTTTTTTTCCAAGTGCTTTCATGAACCACATCAGAGGGCTGATGTGGACCAAAAAAAGAAGGGAAGCCAGGGGGCCCTGCACACAGCAGGAGTCCTTACCAGCAATGTTCTCTGGAAGTTCCAGCTCCTTCCTGTTCAGCAGCCTCTTGCGCTCAAAGAGGGCAGAATCCAGGCTCTGACAGCGTGGCTGGTCCTCCCTGGGGGGGTTCAGGGCTTCGTGCTTCAGCAGGTCTGCGGCCTTTGGGCGGTGATTGGGGTTCCTCTCCAGGGCAGCTTCAATCAGCTCTCTCATGCCTGGACTGCAGTCAGCGGCAATGTCTTCCAGGGGAGGCGCTTGCTTGTGGATCTACCAAAACACCAGCTTTCTTACCATCAGTGGTATGGACATACCCTCTCTCCCTCCACTCCCGGAAAAGCACTCTAGTAACAAGACCTAGGAAGTCATTTTTTCCCTACCATGTGCCCTGCAGCAAATACAGTTCATACCCCTCAACAAGCTTCCCTTTAATTTCCTAGGGACACTGAGTTAGACCCATCTTTTGGGCTAATGCTGCAAAAGACACACACTAGGCTGGAATAGCAGTGACAGCTTCCTATCTCTAGCCCAAAGGTGCAATGCAGTAATGCAAAAGTGTCTGCTTCTAGATCTCTCCAGAGTAAAATAAGCATTGCATGTTCTACTGCAAGCTAGGCTAGAGAGGAAAGAAAACTCTTAACATCTTTTTTTTCCTTAATAGTCAAAGAACACATATAACTTCCTTGGCTGAAAGATTTATGCTACTAAGTGGTATTTTATTACAACACGCATAATGAAAACATATGTAACTTATGTCCAATGTATATTTTAGTAAGTTCCCACTAATAGCTATGTTTTCTTTGCAAGCATAAAGCCTTCCTGGGGGGGGGGGGAGCGGGGACACACCTCATCAACAAGGGTAACTACATAATGAAGATTTGTATACTTAACCTTAAATTATACCCCACATCTTTAAAATTAAAAATTAAAAAAAAAAAGAATAAAGCTTCCTTCCACAGAAGAAGAACCTGCAGCTGCCTCTCATGGGTCACAACTTCACCATCACCCCATTCAGGTATGGGTATCACAGGAGGCAGAGCAGCCCCTCCCATCCCTCCCCGTCCCAGCTGACTCCACTTACTATGTACAGGTAGGAAGGATAGGCTGTACGAGGGTAGCGCTTCACCCAGGGTGGGGTGCCCGTCTGCATGTGAATGAGTGTGGCACCCAGGCTGTAGATGTCCGCTTTGGTTGAGTGGCCCCTGCACAGGATGACCTCTGGGCTCATGTAAATCTGAAAAAGATGTGGAAAACTTCAGCATGATCCCTGCATTTGTCTGACTTTCCATTCCCGAATCCATTCCTGGAAATGGGCTCATTCACCCTTATCAGAGCCTTTCAAAAGAGAACGCCACTCTTGTATTCCCTAAGACAAGGAAAAATATGCAGGCGTTCTCTGGGAACCAGGTAGCCATGGATGGAGGGATCCCTGGAGCCTCACAAAATAACACTTTTCTCAAGATTGAATACATGGTTGATCTAGTGGCAAGGGGGCTGGAAACAGTGTAGTTAATTCCTCTGTTAAAGCACCAATTCCTTTGGCATTTAAGTGGACACTGCAAATATGTGTCTTCACTTGTTTGTCATTAAATTGCCAAGCCTCTCTTACCTGCAGTGAACAAAAATCTAACGTCTTTGGCAGAAGTACAGAGTATTAACGCCAACCTCTTGGAAGGGAAGAACTTAAAAACTCATGTGTGATATTCTAAAATGACTCTAAAGAGTCATTTCTAGCCGGACGTGGTGGCTCAGCCTGTAATCCCACCACTTTGAGAGGCTGAGTGGGAGGATTGCTTGAGGCCAGGAGTTAAAGACCAGCCTGTGCAATACCTCATCTCTTCAAAAAAATAAAAATAAAAATAAATTAGCAAGGCATGGTGGTGTGTGCCGGTAGTTCCAGTGACTCAGGAAGCTGAGGCAGAGGATCGCCTGAACCCAGGAGGTCAAGGCTGTGGTGAGCCATGATCATGCCACTGTACTCTAGCCTGGGCAACAAAGTGAGACCCCAACTCAACAAAAAAGAAAAAAAAAAAAAAGAAAAAAGAAAAAAAGAAAAAGAGGATAGCAAACACTGGTGACCTATATCTGTATTCACAGATAGTACAGACATACAGTCATTAATATGCTAATTATTATCAATATTTAGTTTTAAACAGCCTGTATACTATCTGTCATATGAATGTGGGGAAGGCCGTTAGTGTTCCCGGAATACACTCGAGGGTAAAAAGTAGAGAACTAGCTTACAGAAACTGGGGAAATTGCCTGGCTTCCCCGCCCTAGCCCCGCTCAGCTTCTTCCTACAACACACTTCCGAGCTGGCTTCCTCTCACTCTCAGCAAACAGATTACACTGAACTGTTTATTCTCCAACTTTCTCTGCAGCAGACACAGAGCATGAGGATCCTGAAGGACTTTCTAACCAAATATAATCACAAAGTTAAAAAATAAATGCACAACATTGGACCTACAGTCAACAGTAACAACTGTACTCTTAAAAATTAGCAAAAGAGGGTAGATCTCACGTTAAGTGTTCTTACCAACAAACAGAATTAAAAGAAAAAAATAAAGAACTGCAATGGGTATTATTAATTGTCCATAGAGGATGCCTATCTCCTCCCCTGACCTATCACCAAATAAAGCAAGTATTATGCAGTGTCTACTATGGGCGTGACCAACAGCAGCAGCTCACAGGGGTCTCTGCAGGTTCCACATGGCTGCACACGCAGGCAGCACTTGGGATGGCAGCATCCAGTCCAGCCTGGTGGCTGGTGCTTCCCCTCAGGCAGATACCCCACAGCTTCATGGCTCAGAGCTCAAGCTTCCTCAAACTCGACAAGAGCCAGAACAGGCAGATTAGGGACAGCAGGGCATGATGTTCAAGCATTGTTCAAGCTGACTGATTAGCAGGCCTGAAGCAGCCCTGGTGGAACTGATAGGAAACTCTGAGAGCTCTTACAGCCAGAAAGCCAGAGCTCTGGGCACCAGACCAAGGGAACCTTGATGTCGGGAACTGAGTTCTTTGCCTCTTGACATGTTTATTAGAAAGGGAAAGTGTGTGTGCTTGTGTGTGTGTGTGTGTGTGTGTGTGTGTGTGTGTGTTGATTATCTGTTAACTTACAAAGGTAAAACCAGACACAGAAGAAAATAAAACCTTTTTTTAAAAGATCACACTATAAAAGTAATTCTAATTTGTTAATTATATTCACTATGTATTCTTTCTATGTACCAGATAACTCAAAAGCAGTATACTGGATTCATCCTGTATACATATGACATGGCTACTGTAGAATGCTCTGAATATAATATTCTTAGAGTGTGTGAGAGAGACAGAGAGATATATGAAGCAGGGGAGACCAGTGTTTGTATTTGTAAGCTATATAAGGGGGCCCCCCCAAAACCCAGAATTATTTTTTTGGAGTGTGGGCCTCTTGCAGTACAGGCTTCCCCAGCTAGGTAGGTGTTCTAGGAACCCATTGGTATTGTGTACCAGCTAGCATTGTTGTGAAAGGCTGCGTTGGGCTTCAATTTTTTTTTTTTTTTTTGAGAGTCTTTCAATGCATTTGCCCATTTCATGAAGGTGATTCATGAGTGCACCTGCCCCCACCATGCAGAGTTTTCAGCAGTTTTTGACCAAAAAATGGCATTACCCCAATTCCCCACCCTCCCTATTCACCTGATCTTGCCCTAAGCAACTTTTTTGTTGTTGTTTCCCTGGATGAAAAAAGTCCTCAAAGGGTAACATTTCACCCATGTGGAAGAGGTAAAACAAAAAACGGCAGAAGCACTGAAAGACATTGAAATTGACAAATTCAAAAACTGTTTTGAGCAGTGCAAAAGGCATCTCGATAGGTGTATTGTATTAAACAGGGAGTACTTTGAAGGTGACTGAAAGTTAAACATGTAAGAATAAACTCACAATTTTTTATAAATAAATTCTGGGTTTTGGGGGGTTCCCCCTCGTATTACAGAAATCGGCTATGGCTCCACAGTGGCCATGAGGTCAAGTCTGAATATCAAGCAAATCAGCTGCTTGACTAATTGACAGTTGACCTTGACTAATTATACCCTACTGGCTTTAAACAGGAGGAGTAAAAGCAAGTGTGCTGAAAGGTTTCATTGGTGACTTCACAACCTAGTTTGGTATCAAACTTCAAATCCTGAGGTACAGATAGGAAGTATAGGTTGATTCAAAAAGAATGTATGATAGCTATAAACACAAAGCCAGTTTTGCACTTCATAAGAAGCAATTTGCATTTGCTGAAAATAACTTGATCCAAATACCATGCATGGATAAAATATGTTATTATTTCATATCCAAGCATTCTGCTAGAGAATACCAGAAAGAACATGTCTTTCTCCAGCATTACAAAATGTTCAATTTGGCCACACTGCCAGGAAGAGAAAGGTATTTGCCATTTTTAATACCATAAATAGTTTGTTTCTCAGACTGAATCCAGGAAAAAGGATGGTGAAATGTCACATATCTGAACTCCTGACTAATGCCAAAATTTGCTGAAACATTTCCAAAGAAAACATGTCATAAGCATTAAGTCTTATTAGATTTTGTGCTTATTAGACTTTATGTCTTAAGAATTCTTAAAAAAAAGTCTACACTTTTCTCTTCTGAAGATGATTCTTCTCAAGGATGACTATCAAGAATCTCTCAAGTATTTTCCAGTAATAACCTCCGTAATACCAGCAAAAGCAAGGATTTTTCCTACTGTCCAGAAGAGTCTTTCCATTGAGAGAGTTAAGAATGGGCTTATAAAATCCTGGTTTGAAAGCCAATGTTTTTGTCACTGCAATCTAGTTCAGCACAACACACACATTAGCTAGACTAAGGGCTGCCTTGTGGTTGAACATCAAGACTGACCTGGTAACTTTGAGGCAAAGGTGCAGCCAGAGACCTTCTCTCTACTTTCTGTGGGTACTTCCAGAGGGGAGGGGGGCACGGGGGCTGGGTGGTCAGGGCAATGAGGCCTACCCGATAGTGGAGCGAGGCCAAGGAGGCAGCTTTTGTACCCATTTGCCTTCCCAGCTGCGTCCAACCCTGTGCCCACACAACCTACTGTGAACTAGACTGTTGCTCTTTTGGTAACTCAGGCAAATTCAAAACAGATCCTCCTGCCAAAGAGTGAGTGCCACTGAAGTACCACTGAGGCATGAGCCTTGTCAGTCTTTCCCCAGGCTTTGTCCCTGGTGCCCACAACAGCCAGCCACAAGGCAGGTGCTCAGTAGATGCTTGCCAAATGAACCAGCCAGTCATCCCAGTGCTGTGAATGTTACATATATTATTTAGAAGCAATTTTGAGAATCTCACTTAGACTCAGAAAAGGTTTTTTTGTTTTGTTTTATTGTTGTTTACCTCACAGATGAATTAAGTACTATAACTATTTTATATCTTCAAATAAGATATAACTGTGCTCACTACTTGAGGTTTATTATAGAATCCTTAATATTAAAGATAGGCCTTTGTTGTCAAGAATTTGTATTTATTTTTGATTTACTATTATTATTATTATTATTATTTTTGTAGAGATGAGATCTCACTATGTTTTCCAGGCTGATCTCAAATTCCTGGGTTCAAGCAATCCTCCCAAAGTGCTGGGATTATAGGTGGAAGCCACTGCCCCTGGCCATCAATAAATATTAATGACCATAAAAATTAAGACTGTAAATGAGCCAAAACTCAGGGATATTATGCCCAAAATATATTTCAATAATATATTAGTCATATTAAAAAGTTACATAGCAGTTAAACTTTAGGCTTAGACTCAGAAAGAACTGAGTTCAAGTCCAGGAACTAGTTGCATAAACTAATCTCTTCAAGCTTATTTCATTTATTATAAAATGGGAATAATACTAGTATCTGCCTACAATAGTAGTATTTAGAAATAACAGGGTTGTTGTGAGGATTGAGACATATGATTTATTTAAAGTGCTAAACTTATAAAGTTAACTATAATTCCGTAATTTTTTTTTTTTAGGTAGGATTTATTGAAAGAAAGAGCTCCCACAGTGGGAGGGGACCCGAGGTGGTTGCCCCATAATTGTTTTTAAAACTGAATTATAGCCGGGCTCGGTGGCTCAGCCTGTAATCCCAGGCCTTTGGGAGGCTGAGGTGAGTGGATTGCCTGAGCCCGTGGGTTCGAGACCCGCCTGGGCAGTGAGACCTCATCTCTTGAATAAATCAAAAATTAGCCGGGCGTGGTAGCGTGCGCCTGTAATTCCGGCTACTTGGAAGGCTGAGGGGGAAGGATCGCCGGAGCCCAGCAGCTCAAGGCTGCGGTGGCCGGAAGCGGCCACTGTACTCCAGTCTGGGCGACAGAGTGAGACTCCAATTCAAAAAAAGAAAAAAAAAAAAAAAAAAAAAAAAAACTGAATCATGGATATACGCTATTTTGACATTACATTGTTTGCAAATGTTTTCCATTATTTATATCATAATATATTACATTACAAACATTATTTTGTGTTCTAAATAACACAGCAAAAATAAAAAAAAATAAGGTGTTAAACTTAGTACTTGGCACAGAGCAAGTGCTCATTAAATTAGTTCCAATAATAATAATGACTAAATGCAATGGTTTTCTTCCCCTACCTTTTCCTTCTTTCCCACAGTAATTCAAGAACATTCTTTTTTTTTTTTTTTTACTTTTAATAGGACATTAACCATTCTCATATGAATATAATTACCTCTGTTCCTCGGAGGTCCTTAGGAAAATAGATATCTTCAGTCATTTGAACACTCAGTCCAAAATCCACCAAAACAGCTTTTGTGGACATGAAAACAATGTTGCTAGCTATAAAGAGAGGAAAAATGTTAGTACCAAACTTTCTATATGAAAACATTATCAAAAACAGTAATGAGGTCCAAATCAAAAAGACTGAAATGCCTTTCCCATTGACATAAGCATGTCATATCCAAAAGGGGAGGCTAAATCTCTGTGAGCCTTTAGGTGAAAACCAGTTCAGAGTCGTCGAGAATGCAGCCAACATGGCTATAAATGATCCTGGTGGCTAATCATGTTCAAGGGCTTACATTTCAAATTCCAAAATATAAGCATACGAATAGTAAGCCACTTTTCTAAAAACAGAAAGGTAAAACATCCAGTTTTTCCCAGTGAAAGTTGCACTAGCCCAATTTAGCACCGGTAAGTAAAGATTTACAAAGGAGCCTCCTGTCCCCCTCCTCACCATAAATGACTCCTAGAAAGCAGTCCAGGAAGGCTTGTTCATGGATCGTTGTCAAAGTGATATTGAAAATCAAAAAGCTATTTGTTTCTCAAAAATATGTTACTGGGCGTGTGTATGTTTTTAAGTAAATTAGTATTTTAAAAGCCTTGTGAACCGGGGTACAGGCAGACCCTGCTGGATGTGGCTACCATCTTTTCGACAGTTGTTGGGTAGCCATCCTTCCTTGTGACTGGGAGAGCTCCAGCAACCCCGCCATTTGCTAAGACAGGTCTCAGATGCTCAGAGAAGCAGGATGGACCTGCTCAGAGGGAGCTGTCCTCCCTGCCACCAAGGCTTTCCAGAGTGAAGGGAGGAGCCCATCTGCCTCTCTTCTCGTGGTCTCCTTAAGCTAAAAAGGCACCTATTCAAAGACTCACGTTTAATATCATGGTGAATCACTTTCTTTGAGTGTAGAAAGTCGAGTCCCTTGAGAACATGCTTTGTCACCCAAATGATTTCAAATTCTCTCATGGGTCCACAGCTCTCCAGTTTCTCCAAAACAGATCCTCCTTCACCAGCTTCCATAAAGAGATGGACAGTTTCACCCCACAGGACAGCGCCATATAACTCCGCGATGTTCTCGTGCCTGAAGCAAGCCTGGATTTCCACATCGGATGGTTTAAATTGATCTACTGGGATCTAGAACACAGAAACACGAGCAATTATTCTAGAAAGGATAAGTATTCGACATAATCTTGAAAACAGATTATGTCAACATGCAAACCAGAAGCCCCCAAGGATACTCTGACCTGTATGAAACTGCACTTGCTCAGTTACAAGAATTTTCACCCCAGATCTATCTTTACATGGTATCAGGTTTAGCAACAAAATTCAGAACAAGAAATAAAAATAAAATAATGAGTATTATTTTCACTTAGAGAACAGAAATCCAACCAAGATGAATGTAGTAAAAGAAAGACAATTTTCCTTCTATTAGATACATAAATTCTGTGTCACCTAGATTTTAGGTTGTGTTTTCTTTCTTTTTTTTGAGTTGGAGTCTCACTCTGTCACCCAGACTGGAGTGCAGTGGCCGCTCCCGGCCACCGCAGTCTCAACCTGCTGGGCTCCGGTGATCCTTCCGCCTCAGCCTTCCAAGTAGCTGGAACTACAGGTGTGCACTACCACACCCGGCTGATTTTTGATTTACTGTAGAGATGAGGTCTCGCCAAGTTGCCCAGGTGGGTCTCAAACCCGCGGGCTCAGGCAATCCACTCACCTCAGCCTCCCAAGGCTTGGGATTACAGGCTGAGCCACCGAGCCTGGCTTAGGTTGTGTTTTCAATATTTCAATTTGATATGAGATCAGATGAAGCTGAACCCTTTGGTCCCATAGCTCATACTCTAAGGATGCATTTACAATAAGCCATGCCCATCCATTCATTCCATAGGAAATCAGACATTAATAAAGAAGAAAGTAGCTCTTTCAGTGCAGATAGACTTGTAAATGTCTCCAAAAAATAGGACACTTCTGCAAGCAGAAGTATACATTTTATGTTCCCATTTGCAAAAAATGTTTAAACTAAACACCCATATGTGCACAGAAATTTCTGTGAAGAATATATAAGAACCTCTTCAGAGTCATTTCTTAAAGAAGGGATGTTATTCTTCAGCCTGCACCTTTAGAACCTATTTGGAGCCAGGGTGTGGTGGCACACATATGTGCTTCCAGTTACTTGGAAGGTTGAGAAGGGATCTTATTCTTCAGCCTGCACCTTTAGAACCTATTTGGAGCTTTTGATCATCTATATGTTTTTCTTTAAAAAAAAAAAAATGCAGCTTAACATTAAATGTAAGGACTACAAGGAAAACAAATCCACAAAGCTATTTTCCCTTGCTTTTGGGGATAAAACTGAAAAATAGGACACTGTGGTTCTAAGAGCTTTATAAAATGCCTCCATATTTTTTAAAAAACAATTTGAACATGTATCCTTTCAATGTATGCATCAAATGGCTTACTATAATTCCTCCTGGGTTTTTTCCTTTTAATAACAGTCTAACAAACCCTTATGAAGGAACACATGAAGCCAACATATTATTAGTCTTCTTATTATGATAAGACTGAGACATATTATCCACACTTTATTTTATATTTTGTTAAACCAAAAGAGAGTGTACTTTATTTTGTTGCACTTAAAAAAATTTCAATTCAGCCAGGCATGGAGATTCATGCCTGTAATGCCAGCACTTTGGGAGGTGGAGGCGAGAGGATTGCCTGAGTCCAGCCTGGGCAACTTGGCGAGACCTCATCTCTACAATAAGTAAAAAAATTACCAGGATGTGGTGGTGCACATGTGTGCTTCCAGTTACTTGGAAGGCTGAGATGGAAGGATCGCCTGAGCCCAGTAGGTCTAGGCTGCAGAGGCTGTGAGGATGCCATTGTATTCTAGTGAGTCAGAGTCTCACTCTGACTCAAAAAAGAAAAAAAAAGTCAATTAAAGTAAAACAGACAAAAAGTGTAAAAATGGTCTAAGTGTCAAGCTCAATGAATTATCAGCTCAATGCACAAATGTGACACCCATCTAAATAAAAAACCAGAATTCTACCAGCACCCCAAAATATCCCCATTGACTCCTTCCTGTCACTAGTCCCCAAAGGTACCTACTATCCTGACATCCAGTAGCACAGATTTGGTTGGCCTTATTGTCCTTCATATAAATGGTATCTTGTAAGTAGATTTTATTGTGTGTCTGGCTGTTTTGACTCAACATAATGGTTACACGATTCATCTACTTTATTATAGTTGTAAATAATTTATTATCTTTGCGGTCTAGTATTCTAGTGCATAAATATATCCCATTTCAGCATCTGGGAAATTTCCAGTTTGGGACTCTTAAAAAATGGTACCAATATGAACATGCTAGCACAGAGCTTTTAGCTTCTGGTGATCATGTGGACACACCTCTGATGAGTACACCCACAGGAGACGATCTGTTGGGTCACGGAGTGTTTGAATCCTCAGCTTAGTACTTTTTCTTTCTTTTTTTTTTTTTTTTTTTTTGAGTAAGAATCTCACTCTGTCACCCAGGCTAGAGTGCAGTGGGCATGCTCACGCCCACCACAGCTTTGACCTACTGGGCTCAGGTGATCCTTCCGCCTCAGCCTTCCAAGTAGCTGGAACCACAGGCATGTGCCACCATGCCTGGCTAATATTTTTTTATTTATTGTAGAGATGAGATCTCGCCATGTTGTTCAGGCTGGTCTTGAACCCATGAACTCAGGTAATCTTGCCTCCACCTCCCAAAGTGCTGGGATTATAGGCGTGAGCTACTGTGCTCAGTCAGATAGTTTTCCAAAGTAACAGCATCTCAGTAGCTATCATTTCATCAGCAGAGACAGGTCTTTTTGATAATTGGTATATTTAAAGTCAATCCTTTAAACTGTAGTCCTGAGAAGACTTCTTCCTTCCCAGTTTCTGCTGTTGCTTTTTTTTTTTTTTTTAATGTAGTGGTACAATCATTACTGCAGCCTTGAATCCCTGGGCTCAAGTGACTCTCTCACCTCAGTCTCCCAAGTAGGAGGACATATGCCATCATGCCAGGCTAATTTAAAAAAAAAAAAAATTTTTTTTGAGATGGGGTCTCACTATGTTGCCCAGGCTGAACTCCTGGTCTCAGGCAATCCTCCATCCTCAGTCTTCCAAAGCTCTGGGGTTACAGGCATGAGCCACCATGGCCAGCCCTGGTTTTGGCTTCTCTGTCTGACCCCCTTCCCAGTGGGTAAGAGGAAAAGAACAGCACATAGGTTTGCTCTTATTTTACAGGCTAGCTTCCTTCCACTTCTCTCTAAGACTAAGAGTGATGATGCTAATTATCCAAGTTGGTGCTAAACCAGCACTTTCCTTTTAATCATCTAGAGTAAAATCAACTGTGTACCTAAGCAGAGATTTAGGGGCTACATGGCCCCAGGAAGCAAGCACATCCAGAAACAAGTGCTTTGGGGCAGGACATCTTAGATAAGATTGTCAAAGCATAAGAACCTTTGGTTAATGCGAATGAACAAACACACCAAAACCAGAATGCCAAGCACACAGTACATTTGTCTGGTTAGAAAGCACCTACCAGTTTACATGCCATCCTTTTCTTCGTCTTTATATCTTGTGCTAAGTACACTTTTCCAAAGGCCCCCCGAGGAATGAAATCGGAGCCAATATTCCTGTAAGTCAGCTTCCAGGGGATCAGGAGGACATCAGAGTCTATTTGGTAGCGTCCATTCTGGGGAGTGATGACCTAAAACAAAGTTAAAATGCAGGAGAGTGAGGATTCCAGTAAAGCTGGCTTCTTCCTAGACCCACCCATTAGGAAGCTGGCTATTTTAGAAGCATTCCTACACACAGTGTTTGACATTAACGTCTGTGCGTGATCCTAACACTGTTCAGACTATATTTAGAACTTGAGCAAGTCAGAGAAAGCATGTAATAGACACACATCCCTGGTCAGACCTGGTCATATTTCAACCTGCTCATGAGTAATTGCCAAATAGAACTTAAAAAATTATTTATCTAAGGGAGCATGACTACAGCGACCAAAGGCTGAAAATAAAGATTGCATAAACTGCCTGCAGGTTGACTTGCTTCTATTAAAATGTGCTCACCTGTTAGTCTGCATAGCTATTACTCACGCATGATGCATACAGAGAGAGCATGGAAATTAACTGGTGAGCATGAAGGATTCTGGAAAACAATGTGTTATGCCAGAGCTATGAGTTGACAATGCTATGTAAATAAAGTAAGGGCAGAATTCGCTCTCCTCTACTTACTCATATAATAACCATTGCGTGCACAACAGGAGCCGTGCACCATGTTTGGTGGAGGAGGTGAGGCAGTCACCAACAGGAGACAGGTGACCCTGGCCTCTGAGAGTTCATGAGCAAATACTTAGAACCAGAGGTTTCAAACCTAGCTGACTCAAAAAACTAAGAGACGTATCCTGACGGTAATGTGGGTTACAAGGGCGTGTGTACTTGTCAAAACTAAACGACTTGGACATTTGAGGCCTGTGTATTTGACTGTATATAAAGTATATTTCAATTTTTAAAGATATAAAATTAAAAGGCAAAATAATTATAATTAAAACAAATTAATACAGTAGTTCACAGGAAAAAGGATCTGGAGTGCACACTCCTATAAGATGTCTAAAGTGTTCTTTCAAGGGCTATATGGGCTCAACAACAGTTTCTCCTAAATGTAATTCTCCTCAGTGTAAATCAATTACACCCTCAGATCACAAATTCAGGATTTATGAAACTATCAAAGGACGCTAAGTTATTTTAAGTACAGAAGAAGCTGAAGGGGAATGTGAGAAACCCACAAATCCACCACACGAGGGAAAAATGAAGCCCTGATTCATCTGTAGATGCAGGGGACGCCTTGCTGGGCCATGATGGTAGGAACAGTCTAGTAACGGTAAGTCTATGCCCTCAGTCTCCATCAGTGCTAATTTTAGCCACATATCCCACAAACAGATGTGTCCACTATTAGTCAGGGTGAGGCAGAGAATAGCTCTAATGCTTAGAAAGGTGAAGTCACTACATTTAAAAACTAAATATTTACCAAGTGCTTCTGCTGTGTGGGTCTCAGTGAAGGGCCCTAGAGCAAATATGAACTAAATGTAGACCACGGGCTTGCCCTGTTTGAAATATGATGTCCATTCGAGGAGTGTTGTTGCCTCTTGTCACTGAAAGCCTCTTTTGGCAGCATGCTGAGAATATGGCGAATGTGGTTCTTTTTCACAGTTAGACAGGATTCTACTCACAACACTCAATTACACTTGCTTCCTGCCCCTTTCTTGCTATTAAATATTTACAGAACAGCGGGTGTGGTGGCTCACGCCTGTAATCCCAGTACTTTGGGAGCCGAAGTGGGAGGACAGCTTAAGGTCCAGGAGTTCAAGACCAGCCTAGGCAACACAGTGAGACCTCATGTCTACAAAAAATATCAAGAAATTAGCTGGGCATGGTAGCGTGTACCTGCAGTCCCAGCTACTCAGGAGGCTGAAGCAAAGTACTGCCTAAGCCCAGGTTATGTCACTGCACTCTGGCCTGGGTGACAGAGTGAGACCCCAATTCAGCAAATAAATAAGTAAATACATATTTACAGACCTAGTTTCACCACACCCTGAGGTTACTTGGAGTGTGGTCGCATAATTACAGCTGGCTGTAATCTCTACCTCCTGGGATCAAGGATCCTCCTGCCTCAGCCTCCTGAGTAGTTGGGACTACAGGCATAAGCCATCATTCTCAGCCACAGTTCAGTGTTCAGCATGCCTTCATGAGAGTTTTAACAAATGTAATTTTGTTATAACCCAAGGTGACCCAGTATCTTCTTATTCTGTCCAAGAGGAAGAAGGATAATAGCAGTCACATGTTGAGTGCCAGTGACAGCACTATGCTCCATTACCTTCTTGTATTGTCTCACCGAAGCCCACAACAATCCTCTGAGGTATTATTATTATTTTTTTTTTTTGAGTTGGAGTCTCACTCTGTCGCCCAGACTGGAGTGCAGTGGTACACTCCCGGCCACCACAGCCTCGACCTGCTGGGCTCTGTTGATCCTTCCACCTCAGCCTTCCAAGGAGCTGGAACTACAGGCGTGCGCTACCACGCCCGGCTAATTTAGATTTATTGTAGAGATGAGGTCTTGCCAAGTTGCCCAGGCAGGTCTCGAACCTGCAGGTTCAGGCAATCCACTCACCTCAGCCTCCCAAAGCACTGGAATTACAGGCTGAGCCACTGAGCCCGGCTTGAGGTACTATTTTTATCTCCGTTCACAGATGAGGAAACTGACTTCAAGAGGTTAAGTAACTTGCTAGTTAGTGCCAGAGTTAGGATTCAAACTCAAATCTGTCTAACCCTCAAACCACAGCTTTCAGTCTTTGTTTTTTGTTTATTATTATTATTATTAATATTATTAATTTATTTATTTTAAAAGTGTGGGGTAGATTGGCAGTAGTGGAAACTGCCAGGAGAGCTGCAAAATGAACATTTGTATATCTAGTCCTGAATTGTACCCCACATCTTTAAAATAAAAAATTTTTTTCCAAAGTGTGGGGTACAACTCAGGGGGCTCTTAGTCTCTGGGTAGGAATCTTTCATCTTCCAGAAGGCTACCAATATAGCTAATCTATGATGAAAGCCCAGTTATTAAAAGCCTGGTTGTAGAAACAACCCAGTTATTTATGTTTACAGATGTACTGAGCACACCTAAGCCTTCTCCTCTTTAGATCAAGTGCTGCAAGTTTCCTTCATCCCTATTTTACAAACTCCTGTGTTCTGAGAACCTTGCTTTGAATGCCCTGCAAGTTTTCTATGAGCAGACCTTAACCTTGCAGTGTGATGTGCAAATCCTGCCCAGTTTTCAGTTCTACAAATCCCTGGCTCTTCCCCTGGGTTTGAGATGGGATTTTTCTTCTTCTTTCTGGGGGCCCTACCAAACAACCTTAGGGAACTCTATACTGTTTCTCTCCAGAAGTTTTTCAGCTTACCAAAGTCATCTTCAAGTGCAGACATTATAAGCACACTTCTATTTCCTCATTCATATCACCATCATCTGTCCTAAACAATACTGAGCCCAAGAGCAGCATGTGAGAAAATCTTTAGGTATTTCAGTAAGAATGAATTCCATAAGTGACCTGTAAAACAGATGTGATCTTGGGCTCCATTGGCACAGGCGTGTTATCTAGGACAGAGGCAACAACAGCTCTGACCTACTCTGCTTGTCAACAACAAATGAACCCCCAAGTTCAAGTTCTGGCTGTAAGACAAGTGCTGACACTGGCTGGAGCTCAGAGGATACTACCCAGAGGATGAGTACAGTTAACACCACATGAGAAGAAAGTAGACACAGTTAAAAAATACTTGTCAGAGATGAGAGAAGATCTGGTGAACATGCAATTTATAAAATAATAGAAGGACTGTCATGAGAAAGGGAAGTAACAATTGTATACAACCACCACCACCACAAAGGCTTGCATTCATTAAACACTATGTGTAAGCAGGTCATGTGCATTATTTATCCAAGTAACAACCCAATGGAGTAATGAAGCAACCCATTTTACTGATGAATAAACTGAGGCATAGAGAGATGAAGTGACCAGCCCAAGGTCACAGAGCTAATCCACTTAAGAGCTGAGCTACATACCCAGGCACTATAATTTAGGGCCCACAGTCTTCATCTCTGCTCATCATACATACCTTTTTTATGGCCAAAAGTAGGCAAGGGCCAAAGGGGACAGAGATGGATTTAAGCTTTGTATAAGGAACTTTCTTATAGTCAGAACTGGACAAATATGAACTTCATGCCCCAGTATGTGATGAGCTTCTTACCAAAGATTGTCAAGCATAGCCTAATAACCTGTCAATTATTGGAGATGGTGAATGGCATGACTTCAGTATTGGCCAAAGGTCTAGACTAGAGTATCTTTAGGACTTTCTTTTCCAATTCTGAGAAACCATGACTCCATGACTAACCCCCAGGACCATCTTCAGCAGCTCACACCCATAGCTACAACTGAACTGGTCTGGAACCTTCCATGCCCATAAAATCACTAAAGAGCTGAGTACCTGGAACCCATTTTAAATTATTCACCCACAAATCAGCTCATAAATCAGTATAGATTGTAAATTACTTGTAGCATGCTTACCCAAAGCAACTCCTAGGTTAATCTCCTAAGGCTTCTTCCCTGGATCTTGCTGGGTATTGCTGGAATCTTCAATAAATATTATTTTCAGAAAACTAGCACACACACAGACAACCATCCAACATGCCTATGCCTCAGGATATTTTTGTAATCCCTAGTTCTTCACCCTAGTCAACTCCAGCGTTGTGATTGCTGGTTGTCTGTACACATTAGGTCTCTATGCCCCAGGTCTTTGAACATGCTGATCCCATCCTCTGAAACCCTCTCCACTTCACCTAGCTGATTCCAACCCAAAGCTTTAGACCTCAGTTTGGGTATCAGTTCTTCTTGGAAGCCTTTGCTGTTATTCTCCCTTCTCTTTGCTGCAGGCATGGCTGTGTGAGATATCCTGCCTGGGCATTTCCAGAGCCGTGGGGGTGTAGCTGCAGGATGTATTATAACTGTCTGTTCACTTGTCTTCTGCATGTACTAAGCAGCAAGCTCCCAGAGGCACAGACTGTTCAACAACATCGTGTCTCCAGCACCTGGACACACTGTGGCTGTCTCAGCTGTGTCTAGCAAATCAATGAGTGATACCTAAATGAAAGTTGCCCCGTCTCTATGAAGATACACTGTATAGACAGATTTTACCTTGAAACCTATCTGTGCTGTAATCAGCTGCTATTTTCTAAAGCCAAGAGACAGACAGTGGCAAAAGAAGCCCAGAAGAGTCGAGTTTTGACAGCGCAGTGAGTGAAGGATAATGGGAACACAGGACAGCTCCAAGAAGAGCACACAAGAGGATGAAGAACCTGAAAGTAAGCCTTGCCTCCTCAGTCATCTTATCTCAGATCTACCATGATCAGAGATGCCAAGTTCCAACTCCTAGGCCCATATTTACGAAGCAGAGGGCTATGACAGGTTACTAGCAATCACAGAGCTGTAGCCTATCTTTAAAGTCAATGACAGAAAGTCAACCTCAAGCTCCGGAGCCACTGACCCCTCAGTGGATTTGCCTAGTGTAGTCAGGACTCCATTCCTATGGGTTTTAAGGTCCTCCTCTTTTTCCATTCTGTTTTTCAGTCTTCTTATTTTAAATTTTATTTTCTTAATCATTTTAAAAATAAAATCTTATAAAAGTTTTACAGATCCCTGCCTTTATGATAGGTCCTATTCTTAAGTTTTCTCCTTAATTATGCACTTATCCTTTTATAGAGCAAAGGTCCATGGCAGGTAAAAATAACATTTTATGCTCACCCTTGATTGATAAAGTCTTCACTTCCTCTTAATGCCTGTTTCTTTCTTTTTGTGCATTAGCTTTTCTGGCCCCACTCCTAAAAACTTCAAAAGGCTATTTCTTTGTATTTTTATAATTTTCCTGAATTCACTTCTGGACATTCCCAGGGAAGTTCTACAGCTCCTCTCATCAGCCTGTGGGCCAGGAGAACGCCAAATATCTTGAAGTCTGTGCACAGTTGCCAGCAAGAATAATTTGTTTATTCTGCCTGTTTGCATCAAAAATATTCATTTTAACAAATAAATGTTTTAAATAAATGAGAGAAATACCTAAGCAGTGCTTCTCATTACAGACATATATATGTCATTCTGAACCAGAGTTCCCCAGCTATTCTTTAGCTAAGAAAATCAGGTATTGCCCCTCGTTCAAATTACTTTCCATTTATAAAAGGAAGAAATATTCTGAAGGCAAAGTACTCAGTTAACTATTACACAGAACTTGGCATATCCACACCAAAGCAAGTCACATAACAATGTAACATGTAATCTTGCTAAGATTGAGCTAAGGTTGAACACAACTGGCCTCTAACAAAACAATTCGAATGTAGCTGACCTAAATTACTGTGTTGTTTTTAATTAAATGAATGTGGTATGCAAAAAAACAAAATAATTAAGGACTTTGTCCAGACTCTATCCTTTCAGCACTGACTTTCCTCCAACATCGGCCATCTTCCATTTAGACACACCAGAGGAAACGGAGTCACTTTCATCAAGAAGCATGTTTTGTAAGTTACCACCTACTCCTTTGCAAATTGTTCTTTTTAAAAAATTAGATTACCTTTAGCCAGCACCTATGTTCACCTCTGACATACTAAGAACCTGAGAGAATCCCAGGCACACCTAAACACATCACCTGACCTATTATTGTGGCAACCAAATGTTGCCACATATTTTGGATGATTTGCATACTTGGGATGACTAAGCAAACATATCATTTGTCATTCAAATGCTGCGAATTAAAGAGAGTGAATCTGTGGATAGCTATTTACTGCCTACAAACTGCATTTTTGCAAGAACTGAATTTAGCCAATTATGTTATGACATTTCAAGATATGATAAAAAAGAAGCAAATAATTCAGCCTTCAAGAATATTAATTACAGACAAAGCATTTATTCCCCTTTCACATGAAGAATTCTCGTTAAACCTTTTCTCTTCTGTGTAAATGCTGAACAAACTTTTTAAATGAACTGTTAAACTGAACTAAATTCTTCTTAATTACCTATTTGTAGAACTACTACTAAAATATGGCCAAGATTCTTTAAATGAAGCTTTTAATGAAGACTTTTTTTGCATCTTTAACATGGAAGTGCTTATCGATAATTACATCTTTTAAAAATCATACCTGGCAGCCAGTCTAAGCCAAGTTCAAATGCCACTCTGGATTAAATGAGGCTGCAGAAGTAAAGCTAGCACATAGCACTCAACTGATCAGAGAAACACATACCATATTTAATAAAATTCCAGACTCTTGCCGTCGGTGTCCATAAAAATGCTTTGAGGTATTGGATATATGGTTTGCAAAAGCAAGTAAATCCTCTACGGTTCCATATCTGACTGACGACAAGCAAGGCACCTCTTGGCCACTAAGCAGCAGAGAGTCTGAGCGCTCCTGGTTTTGATTACTGTCCTGACACATGGTCATCAGGTTGGGTTCGTAGACTGCTGGCTCTTCACTTGCATAAAGATTTTCCATAATGTCTATTACATCAGACATGTTTAAATGTTTCATTAACAAATCAATTTCCTCTTTATTGTCACTTCCAGTGCTCATGTACTCCATTACGGTTGAGTTTCGCAGAGAATCTATAAAAGAAGACACGAACACTTCGTTTACAATACGGGTATTTGCATTCAAGACCAATGGGAAACGAACACACAAGAATTGGGAACAGGCTTCTAGATGCCTTGTTCAGGAAATGAGGGCTCTGTGTCAACTGTGTGTGTGAATTCAAGTTGATGGTACACATAGTCCAAAGAGACCGGAGATAACCTTCAGTCCAGCCCGAGATTCAAAGAGCTTACTCCTACTCACGCAATCAGCTACAGCCCCCGAAAACAAACTTTCACTAACATCAACATGAATAAAGAGCAGCTCAGGAATCTTAGAAGAGCTCAGGCTTCCAACCCCGCACAATCCAGCTTTTCCCCAAAGTAGCATCCTCCCTGCAAGAATCACTAAGGCTCTCATGCCTCCCGTGATTTAAAGAAAAAGAACTACTTGACTAAGTTCAGGAGCGCACTTGGCAAATAAAACTCAGGCCCTGAAAGTCAGAAGTATGTGAAATGAACTTCAATCTTAGAAAATCTGATGATGACAGGTTAAGTTTCAGGAATCATTCTGAGGCAAATGAGTTAAACAGCTCATCAGAAGGGATACAGGGAGCCTCAAATCCTACTTTCTGCCAGGGATAAGTATTAGAAAGGAGGCGATTCATTTAACCTGCATGTCAGCTGTCCCCTTGGGAGATCAGAATTCTTTACCAGTGAGATGCAAACATCTCAGCGCCCAGTAAGATCACTTTAATATCTAGATAACTGACCCTCCAGGAGCTGTGAGTGGTAGAAAGAGGCCAGGAAAGCCAAACCTGTCATAGCAGGACGTGTGTATAACTGACTGTATTAGCCAAAATTGCATTTCAGTTCCTAAATGCAAATCACCTGCCACACTTGGAGGTCTGCAGATGAGAAAAGGAAGGTAAAACAAAGGGGAAAAGTGACACTATTACTCAGGATTTCCAAACTTCATTTCTAAGGAAAAAAAAATAACCGGACCTAAGAGAGTTAAGAGAAATTCAAAGCATGTCGTCTACTTAAACCACTGCGCTCCTGAAAGCACAGCCTCTCTGAAAGCTATTTCAGGTTCTCAAAAGCACAAGTCTTTAATACATGACACCCAGTGCTAAAGCCATGCACCTCCCATCAACTTGGAGTTTCAGTTCAAAGTTCCAGGAAATGTCCCCTGCCCCGCACAAAGCCACCTGCACGCGTGACCCAGCCATCTGCCTCTGAGTTTCACTTAACAAAAAAAACCACTCACTTGATGATCATTTTCAGATGTGCAAAAGGTGTCAAGGAGGGCAGTGTTGCATCCTGCCGCCCAGCATTCCTCTAGTCTCAGACTGCTTGGGGTCAAATCCCATACCCCCATTTACAGCCTGCATGATGTACCTTACCTTCTCTGTACCTCAATTTCCCCATCTATTAAATGAAAGTAATAACAGCATCTGCCTCATGAACTGGTCGTGAGGATTCAATGAGTTCATGTGCATAAGGTGCTTGGCACAGTGTCTGGTGCACATTGAATAAACTGTGTCATTTGTAGCTGCTTTATGTGCATGAACGAGAGAAATACTGAGTCAGACTCCAGGCTTGGCAGAGATACCAAATTAGCCTCCTTTCTTATCTGCAAATGGGATGTGGCTATCTATTCCCCCAACTTCTTCACAGAAAGCTTATAAAGATTGTATCTAAAACAAGACACAATAGGGGAAAAAAGGTAGAAACCTATGAAATGCTTTGATGGCTATCACCACGGTTAAATCCGGGGTGGGGAGGCAGCTCTCGCTCTCAGAAATCTTTTACATCTATGAGGGAGAATGTGATTCAGGCTCTTGGAGTCTGTTAAGAAAGAAACTTCTTAGGTTAAGAGAGGAACATTTGACTTTGGTTCCACTGAGCCCTTTAGTTGCAGTTTCTGCCAGTACAATTTACTAGGAAAACAGAAGTTAAAACAAAAACAGTCGAATTTAGGACCTCAGTGGCTGAAAAGACCCAAATCTCCTGGAATGACTTACCGAATGAGTGACTTGGCATAAAATAAGGTTCTCAGTACTAACATGACTCAAGAAAAATCAGGGAAAAGTCCATACGGTTCAAATTTACTCAGCTGATCCAGAGAGGAAAGACAGGGTTGGGTTTTTGAATCCTGCAGAAAGTCTCAGGCATTTACATGCAAAACCCAAGAGCTTAAACAAACACACCACACACACACACACACACACACACACACACACACACACACATCAATAAACAAAAGCGGAAGAAGAAAAAGTAGGGGTAATTAGCAGGGTGTGGTAGCGCACACCTGTAGTTCCAGCTACTTGGAAGGCTGAGGCAGAAGGATCACCGGAGC